GGCATCTGCATATGGCTACATCCTTCTGATTTTGGTCTCACACAATAGCCTGCGGAGTGAATTTGTAAAGTAGGCTGAGTCCTTGAGTTTCAGGGAGATCTAAGGAAAAAGCATTTCTTAATGGCCACAGAATTCTTTGTGTGAAAATTTTAAAAAAGATAACCAAGTTCTGCTTTCATTTAGCTCATAAAGTTCATAAGGTTTGTGCTGGATTTGGCCTCTTCTCCCAATTAATTTTTTTTTTACTGTTGGGTGTCTTTTCTGTGCAAGTCAAATATTACTTCAAGTCTGGGTTCTGTATGAGAGATTTTACACGTTCCAAGAGGAAAACAGTGGGGCAGCCTCCCAGATGCATCGAAACTGTTTAGACAGAGTTTGGTTAAGTGTATAGACAAAAGAAGTGATGGGGGAGGAGAAATCTTGGAATTTAATGCTTCTTCCTGTGAAAAGTCTGTGTGTGTCAGAACTGTTCATAAATGCCTCATCTGCTTGTTGCTAATGTATGTCTCTTGCTGATCTCCTGCTTCAGGGCTCGTCTGGGTTACTTGTGGGAAGAAAAATAAATTTTACTCCCACTTATTTTGAGAGGGTAAAACTCTCTGAGGACAGAGGCTTTGCAGGAGACACAAGATATGCTGGTGCTCCTCCTGATGTCTGAGTCCCCATGTTGCTGGCTGGTGTTGTGTTGAGGGTAGAACAGCTCAGCATTGCACATCCATCACCGGGAGCTCCTGCCCTGCCCTGAGCTTTGTATGGTCATGTTGAGCTGCAGTGGGGGAGCACTGCATCCAACAACCCTCAAAGGTTTAGTAAAGGCTTGTTCTGCTTCGTGCCAGCACTCCCTTTGCACCGTATTGCAGTTGTTGAGCTCTGCAAGTCCTTGGCAGTCTCCAGAGAGTAAAGGCTCTGCTGGTAATTCTTCAGTGAAGCTTTAAAATGTCTGTTTAAAGATCTGTTATGAGACAGACTGTGTGTGTTTGTCCATTTTCACCTTACTGGCCAACAGTGTGTATTAATGCTTCAAGAAGAAAGAATTTGACTTCACAGATACGCAAAGGCTGAGCACTAAAGGCATTAGTCAAGCACTTTGCTGAGGTGCAAAAAGTTTCCTTTACGCAAAAATCTAAGGTGAAAGCTACAAAGTGTGAGAGGGACTCTGCTCAGTTTGGAGCTACCAAGAGCAAAATATTTCAAAGGAGGCGACAACTCTTCAGCTGAAGTGTTTTATTCCATGCTGGTGGGAATGTATATGTGACAATAGCAAGGTGTTTGCACTGATGTAAAGGCAATGCAGTGAAATTCTGTTGAAGAAAAAGAGAAATAACAAGGCGTGGAAAAGCGGTGTCTTCAGAGCCAAATTATAGTAGGCCCAAAGACTGTAGATGTTATTAAACATAGTAGTAGTATTAAAATGAAATATATATATATATGGATGAAGTACAGAAAGTAACGACGCATAATAAGAGGTACATAGCAGAGAAGAGTTGGAATGGTTTATGAATGCAATTAATGATTCCAAAGAAATTACAAGGAAAGTAATGATATAGAATAAAATATGATTTCACCAGATGATGAGCAATAGAAAATGTTTCCAATATACAAAGAGTAAGAAGGCAGGAGAGGAGTCTGTGTGCTTTCAAAAGCAAAGACAATACTTTAAAGACAATGGATTTAGCCTCTGCAAGAAAACATAATGTTCACAAAGGATGTGGAACAGATGCCAAGAGCAGATGTACAATTTCCAATAGAAGAAAGAAATATACAGAAGACCATTGCTGTAACAGCAAATTAAGAAATAAAACAATCTCAGCAGTGAGGAAAAAGCCAAAATCAAACTAAGATACATCTTACTATTTAGAAGAAATCCAAGGAGGAAATGTGAGCTTGGGTCGCAAATGTTGGAATAGAAAAGCAGGGATAGACGTAAGGGGTATTAAATAGGAATAATAAATGTTATGCCTCCAAATCCTCGTAATTGAAATCAGAAAGAAAGCAATACTGTGGAGAGTGATTTTGTGGCTTTCTTATGAAGGTCTTGAGGTGTTCTTGAGGCATCCATTTAAAGACCAAAAAAAATAAGAACTTGATTTCCTTTGAAACCTCCATTTTGTGACTCCTAACTTTCTGGATCGCATCTTCCTTGTACAGCACTACATGCACACGTTTTCAAGATTAAGAAGGATGTTTTTCCCTTTCCTTCTTGCTCTTCATAGGATTTGTAACAATAACTATGAACTGGTAGCTGAGGGGAATTCTGATTTGCACAGTGACCATCACAACAGCAGAACATCATGGGCTAAAATTAAACCTGAGGCTTGGGCTCGTTTCCAGTGGCAGGATCCTATTACTGGCAAAGGAAGCAGAGCACACCAGAAAAATGTGATCCAAACAGGTGGAGAGCCAAGGCTATACGAAATCTTATAGATTAGCTGGGGACAGGTTTAACATTTTGATTTGGAGCGCTGTTGAGAGAAAAAAAAGAGCACTGTTGCAAAGTTTCTGCAAAAATGCTTTTCTGTCAGAAAGCACTCAAGCTACATGAGTGTGCACTTTAGCAGTACCTGACTTAACTCTGATGGATTGCTTTGAATTTCTTTGGAAAGGAACCAAAATACTTCAAGCAGTTAAAGTGCATTCATAACTTATCAGGAGAAAAATACAGCGCGTCATGATATTTGCTAGGAAAAAAATAAGTCAGTTGTGTGTGAAATGCCTCCTGAAATGATTTAACGATGGAAAGTGTCAGTGACAACATTATTTATTCCAAGGGAGCTCCTTGGGGCAGACAATCTTTGGCTATGAGCATGGAAGGATGGAGATGCTGGCACTTTCAGTTCTAAGTTAGGTGCTAGGTTAGCCACAGCTTTGTCCTGAAACACTTTGGAAACAGGTTTTGAAAGAAAGCTAGGAAGGAACAAAAATAAGATTTAAGAGGGAGGGAGAGTATCATCAAAGTAAGTTTCTATGTGGGCGGAAGTCGTGTTGGTCTATTTGCTCAAAGTGCAATAACTCCCTATCATTTCCTTTACTTTATTAATAACTACTTTTCTGTTTAAAAATATTTTAATCCTTTTCATAGTTGAGGGTGACTCATTAGCTCCTTTTTTTTTATTGTTGTTGTTAAAGATGTCTTCCAGTCACAGCCACCAGAACAATGTCCCCAGAGAGAAAAAAATGATGCTAAAGCAATTCTCCCAGATCCACCAGAATAACTGTTCCCATGAATTTTAACAGGCAGCTAAACATCTATGGTTATGAAAAGGAATCCAGAAATAATGCCATACTCATAGCTGATAGAAGATGAATTAGTTTATTAGAAGCAATAGTGTTCTTGCAGCACCTCTTGGGTTGTGGCTGTAGTTCACAGCCCAGGAATTGCACTGTTTGGCCTGTTATTACTCTCAGCGTTCAAGAATAATAATCTTAGAGAGAATTTATGCTTTTTCCAGCATGTAGGATATGCAGAATCATTATAGACAATAAGAAGGAACCAAGCAAGGGAACACAAGCTCCAGGCTTTGACTAACTCAGTGCTTTTGCCTTGGTCCCTGCCAGCTGAATGAAGGGTTAAGTGCTTGCTTGGTCTCTAAGACCAAAAAATGGGAGAAGACACTGTTTTCTGCATATGGGCAGAAGAATGAAGTGGGACCAACACAAGGAGATGGCAGCATGATTGGAGCCCACAGCCCTGGGAGCATGCATGAGGTAGATGGAGGCCCACACGTGGCTGGAGAAGAGCCATATCCACAAGGTATCTTTTTCAGCCTCAGTGACTGTAGTGCGGATGTTTTTACCTCTTTTGAGGGGAAGAAAGATAGGGGACAGGGTTTGCTTCTTCATCCTCCCCCTGCCAGCAGAAGGAGAGTGCTCAATCCTCCTGCCCTGAGCCAAAAGCCTATATCTGGGTGGGGAAGCTGGTTACAAATGGCACTTCCCAATGATGGAAAATCATGTCTTCCCACAATCCTTAATCCTTTTATTTCTGTTCTCCTCGTTATCCCATGCCCCACTGCAGAAAGTGATGCAAAGCTGTTTTGGCACTTGTTCTTACCACAGACGATGGCATAAGACTGCCAGATTTTCTCCTACTGTGAGGTCTTTCAGTCAAGCCCAATTGAAACCAGAAATGTCATCGAGGCGAAAAGGTGGTGCAAGGACACTCTTCTAACAGCTGGGTTTCAGGCAGAGAGGCTAGGTAGCTGTAAAAGTGTCTGTTTATCATGCTACATAAGGCAGCAGTATTTTAATCTTAAATGCAACCCTTTTTTGTACAGTAACATCTACACTGATGTTATTTGTTGCCTGGGCCAATACCCGTGCTTTAAGTAGAGCAAACTGAACATAGGGGATGATGGCTCAACAGTTGTATTGTTTGAAGTCTATGAGAAAGAAAAAATGTGTGGGAGTGTCAATTTTTGAGGTCTTTATTTCAGTGCACCAAGACAATAACTCCCTGAGAGATAGTCTATACTTCAAGTGTGTTTTATGAGCTGAAGACAGAAATAATGACTTAGTTTCTTTGGACTGCACTGTGCAGCAGATCAAAAAAGGTGTTCATAATTGTCTTCTAGGAACCTGACCAATGCCTATGTCACAAATTCAACCATTATTTACCACCCAAGAATGCACAAAAAAATGACACACAATAAAAAGGGAAACGACGAGAGAAAAATGACTGCTTTACAAATGTGAAATTTACACGAGAAGAATACCAGCCATAGTTTAATTCATGACAGATCTCCTGGTGAGTGTACAAACACATTCATGCTGCTAACGTACCCACTGAGAAGCCATAGTAACCTGTTTTTATATAGATAGGTGGAAACGAAGTCTTGTTCCTTACAGTGGTGAGAACCAAGGTCCTCCTGCTGCAAAGCTACAGCCCCACTGGGATCAACGTGACCCAAGCTCATGCATGACTCTGCGAGAAGATTCCTGAAGAATTTACTTATTTGATTAGATCCCAGGAAAAAAAGAAACTGAAGCCACTTTCTCACCTACAGAAAGAAAACACAGAAGTTTATTCAAGACAACAAACAGTGGAGTTGTGCTTTGTTGTTGTTTAAAACTTGAACATTCCTTCTATTTGAATCTAAGGACAATGGACTTTATCTCTGAAGTACTCATGGGACCCTCCAGTTTCACATCTGTAACCCTGTGGAAGAGATCCTCATCTCTCTCCATTGTTTTTCAGCAGATGAACATCTTCCATAGAATCTACATAAATAGTCCATTCATAAAAGTACAAAAACATGTTGTACCAAGACAATAGCCTTACGAGGCCAGCAGCATCCCTAGTGAAGTGAGCAGAGTTAAACATGCAAAAAATTTGCTTTTTCCCCTTCTCAGGCACCAGCGCAGAATGCCAACAACTATCATCTCTGTCTCATCTCCATTTCTATCACTTCATAAGGACTGGGAAACAAAGATCAAAATCAAAAGCTTCTTCAGCTACCTGGAGAGCTCCTGTGTTCGTGGCACAAAATGTTCTCTGGTAAAGTACAGTGAAATAGAGTCTATTCTTTACCCATCTTTAAGGTGATTTCTTAAGAGAAATTTTTTTTTTTAATGTTCCAGTCTTGGACAAATTACTAATTCCAGTATTCATGTTCCATTTCATATTCTTTCCCTGGATCTGGTTTGAGTGCTTTCCCCCCGTGCTGTACAGGTACACAAAGGAAGCAAAAAAAAGCGTGGTGGTGATAACAAGTGCTGAAACCCTGATGCAGGAACTGCTGGGTGCAGCTCCTTGTTCTTCTGGTAGTGCTGCAGCTCCTTATTTGAAAATAATTAAACGTAGAAAATGCAATGAGGATATAGATGGAGTTCATTCTTCACTTTCATATTTACATACCCAAGGGTTCTTTGCCTCTTTCTGGGACACACAGTATAGCACTTATTACGTCTCTGAACACATCATGGCAGCCTGCTCTGGTTTGCTTAAAGTCAGCTTCAGCCCTGTCTTTACACAGAGCAGAAATGCTCCTTCTACCTGATTAGGCACGACTGCAAGTGAGCAGTGGGAGACCAGGGATTCTCTAGTTAAAAGGCTGATTATCCTGTCTCAAAATAAACTTAAATTGAACCAAGGGTGAATGATCTGGAAAATAATGAAACGCATCTCATTAGAGTGGAAATGGAACAAACTGTGCTCTGCCTTTTTTGGCTCCATTTTGTATGTTAATGAAAAGTGATAAGTGCTCTGCCTGATATTGTTGAAGACCTCGCGTGGATGAGCCTCTTGTCCTTGGTCAGATGCTGCTCTTGCTTACACCAACCTAAAAAAGAAGAGCCTTCCTTGGCATGGATCCAAAGAGCTGGGATCTGAAGCAAGCCAGCCTCATCATTCCCAGCCTGAGAACAAACCTTGAGAAGCCAAGGCTGTTTTTCACCCTTTCACGTTATAGCCAGATCATTTTGACCTCTCTGCTTAACCTCACATTAAATTTGCCTTTGGCTTTTCCAAACCAGAGGGTCAATTTACAAAACATTCAGAGCTACTCGGTTCCCACCGATATAAAGTTCAGAGAACATCAACTCACAGCAGTATCAGAATCCCAGCTTCGTCCATCTGTCCATCATTGTGTATGCAAGTCATGCCAAGTGCCTTAACTCCCATGGTTTAACCTGTGGCAGCCTCTTATCCTCACAGTGCGTTGAGGCTGCAAGGCAAAGCACAGGAAGCATTGCAGAAGTCTCTCAGGGAGACCTGGGTTTGAAAATCAGCAGTGGATGAGAGAAATAGGCATTGAAACGTGCTGCTGTAAGAGGGATGTAATCAAAATTATAACATCATCTCTGGGTGCTAGTGAAATCATTTCAGTATCATGCTGTTGGTATCTCTGGTGTCCTGTAACCCCCTGTTCTGGGCGGAATAGCTTTAAAGAAATGGAAGCACTGCATGAGTGATGCTTATGATTTAATAAACATCAGTCTGCCCCCCCAAAAATCCCTTAATTATGTAGCTAAGGACGAGACATTAACTTACAAGTCTAAATTGAAACAGTTCTTCCCCAATTTTAATCTTATGTTCTGTAGGTTCTGTATAATGCATTTGCTGCTTTCAAGGGCTTGGTGTTTCAGTAGTTCAATGGCAAGAACATACTTGACTTTACCTCTGAGGCTCCCTGGGGCCAGGTTGACCCCTTACCAAGTACACATAACTGTGTAGAATCCAGGACAGGGCAAGAATTAGGCTTACACTGCTGATTTCACGTAGTTCCTGGTCCAAAGAGGAATTATTCAGAGCTGACTCCTCAGCCTTGATGCATCTTGTGAGCCTGATCAGCACTGGTGTCCTGAGCCAAGACTTCGTCCCCACTGAACTGCCCAGTGGGGATGAGAGGCAGCATTGCCAGTCCTGGCAAATGAGAAAGGAGCCAGTTGTGTTCTTAAAAGCATTAAGGTTATAAATGAAAGGTGTTGGGAGTAGGCAAATTAAACGTCCTTTTATTTTTCCTGGGGTGGTTTGACCTTCTGACTGCAGAGGTTTGTGGGCTGTGCAGCTGTACGTAGCTGTACACAGTTGGGATGTCAGCACTGGCATACACAGCTGCCAACATTGCTCAGAGGTCAAGCTCCCAAAATTATGAGAGAGAGTCCAAGCGGAGAAGGAAAATACCTAAAGCACTGAAAAGGAAAGGGGGGGGAAAAAAGGCTGAAGTTGAAATATTTGTGGCAGATCCCAAATTATGGTGAGAGGTGATAGTCTCTCCGTAGTTGAGATCAAAGCCACAGTTCAACCATAAAGTAGGTTTCATTCCCAGCTCCACCCTCAGCTTCAGCAAGGCCAAACCAACCCTCCAGGAGTAGAACAGAGCAAACCTATCCCAGGGTAAGGGTTTTTCCAGCATGATGAGAAAAACGTCTGGTGACACCTCCAGGCAGCTTTAGTGATCAAAACACTCAGGGGCCTCTTGCATTTTCGTAAGATTTTCCTATGATTCCTTGTTTGGTTTTCTTTTTTTAGATTTTGCCCAGCCTTTAAAATGACAACTCCTAAATGCGTTTGCTTTGCTTCTCTCTTTTTAAGACATTTCTCCACTGGGATCACAAGGATGAAAGGAGCTGTGCAGAATTTGGGTGTGTGACGGCCAGGTACCAACCTGCAGCTGAAGTTTGGATCCATCATCTCAGTGAGAAGTGAGGGATATAGACCTACTCCCTCCATCCCAATGTATGTTGTCCCAGCTCAAGGGGGAAGCTTGAAGTAGGAACGTCCTTCTCCTGCAGGGTTAGGATTGCCTCCCATGGTGCTGGTTAGAAATCTGGCTCCAAAAAGAATGGATAGGTTATGAACAGTTTGGGAGCAAGTATATCTATCCATATCTATATGGAAATGTAGACTTTGAAATACAGACTGCAGTTCTGCATTAACTCAAAGTGAGTGATATCATAGCCCTGAATTAAATCACTGGGAATGATAATGGCAAATCTGTCTCTGTAGTGATAATGTCATCTTAGTGTGCCTGCTCTATATCTCCCTCACCACGACAGGGTGGCCATGAAACTCCAGCACATGGATGTTCCAGCATCCCTACCATTTAATGCAACCTTCTCCCATTTTATAGGATGGGTGGCTCAATCCTAAACAGATTAACTGCCTCTGAGAAGCTGTAGAAAGGCGATTTATTTACCCCTGGATGTGCACACAAATGCACAGTCACACACGAAGGTGACTGACATGCACACCAAGGAGAATACACTGCCTGAAAAATCCCTCACCACAACCAAAGACCTGCAGAGAGGAACAACAGGGTTACAGTGGGGAACAAATCCCAGCCCATGGGGATTTCTATAGGCTAATAATTTACCTATGTTCGTTTATCTAGAGCCCAGGTCCAGGTTTACGTGGAATAAGGCACAGGTGATGAGTATTGATGAGATTTGTCTCTTCAACACTATTAACTTTGAAAAATTCACAGCATTAAACTCTTACTAATGCATCTACTTTTGTAAGTACAGCCTTACAAGCTTAAGCAACAAACAGCATGTTCTTGGAGATAGGCTGTAGGCCTGTCCCTAAAATAAAGAATTATATCGCGTGAACCTCTGTGTTTCAGCACCATTTAATAACAACCCATTTTTCTAAGCCACTAACAAACGTATCCTCTCATAACAAAAATCTAGCTGTCCTGAACAAAGGTTTGAGGGAAGCCAATGGAATCTTTCCACTGACCTTAGTGTGTTTGGATGGAGACTCTCAACTAAAAGTTAAGGTGCCATCAGAGAAATAGTGGGCTGGCAGTTAAGCATCACAGATAAGTGCATCGCCTGGAAGTGCTGCTGGCATTGTGTTTTGTCCTGACATCTCACTGCAGTTAAACTTTAAAATATATTCTCTGCATGGTTAGAGCAAGCGTCTTCCTTAAGTGAAAAAATGAAGCTGGTCTGACTTCTGTGCTTGAATTCTAATGGCGTTTACATTTCTGTGTCTTCCTCAAGAGCTTGTCCAGAAAAACACGAGATTTTGCTGAAATGATAAGGAAACTTATACATTCCGAATGGATCTGTGTCATTATGGCATTAACATGTAATGCAGAGGCAATAAAATTTATGATACTCTTTTTCAGTGCTCTAATGAGGCATCGCCAGCCTCGCTGCATATTTGCAAAAGTCTTAACAGATAATGATTTTTAAAAGTACTGAGGTAGAGCTGCTAGCACAAATGGTCATAATAGCAAATAGCTTTGCAGGAGTCGGTTATTATACTGAATCAGAGGCAAAAAATGAATCCCACGCCAGTTTTTCCCCCCAGTTTGAAAGTCAGGCAAACATGTTTCTTCTGGATGCATCTCCTATGAGCTTTCCTTCCCTTACGTTTTCACTGCTGGCTTCACCCCTGCTATGGAAGCAAACCTCCTGATGAGACATATTATTTTTAATCCAGCTTGTTAAGGGCATGAGCGTTCTCACTAATCCACCTTTGGCATGCCTGGTTTTCCAAGCATGGTCTGCGATTTTCAATCCTTTGTATTTCACTTCCAGGAGACATTTCAAATCCAGGACCAGCTTCTTCACACTGCTGACAAGGAATTGCACTGCACCTGCAAGAAAGCTGTGTGCACCATCTGCAGCAGGAGACACATGGGGATGTTCCCAGTGCTTCCAGCTGCTCCAAGTATTCCAGAAAGGCACAGTGATTGCTGCTAGATTTATTTCCACTCATGCCTGGATTGAAGAATAGAAGAAGCAATTCCTCTGTTTCTCTTACGAAGGGAGGCTGCTGTCCACTGACCTCTTCAGCTTCCCCCATCTGCTGTGTAGGTTGAAGGGAAAAACTGGGCATAATATGTAGTCGTTTCTCCTATAGAAAACATACCTGCAAAAAGGAGTTTTGGCCCATGGGGAGAGGCAAGAGGGAGGTACCAGCTTGTGGGAGTGTGCTTACAAAGGCAGCCCTGCGCATTGGCATAGCACCGTGCAGCTCCAGCCCTGCCTCTGAGAGCTGCCTTTGGCAGAAGGTTGAATCAGTCACTGAAAACTGCTGCTGGTTTTCAAAGCATGGGACCCAGGCATGGTCTGCCAGCTTCTGTGAGCTCTCTGTTTCTGCAGCTTTGTGTTTGTAAGACTGCAAGGGCTGGTTTGCTAACCACTGACTCAACTGCCCCATCACTAAGGTCAGATGCTTACTCACAGGCCGTAGTGAAGTCATTCATTATGAATTTCCATCAGACTGGGCTGCAGTCAGATCAGCTCCCCTGATACAGAGCTGAAGCCATGGAGGGATGACAGGTCACTGCCATGGCTCAGCCCTTGCTGAGTAAGATTTTGTCAGCTGTTCCTCCCCATTGGACGTACAAGTGCGTTGTCCTCAGGCTGCTCCATCCCACTCGTTACAAAGGGACAGGAGCTTTAGTGAGACACTGAACAGTGGGACTGATGGAAGATCCTGAAGGGAAAAAGCTGATACTGTGGGTTACACTCAGTAGCTCCTTTCCAGTCTCAAACTTTGCAGTTTCTTCTTAATTCTTTGTCAACACATCCGCTTGAACACATGGTGCCACCAGAGGACGAAGGCTCCCTCAAAATAGGTGCAGTAAAAATACTGAAGGCAGAGGAATTCCCGATCCAACCATAAAACCTGAAGTGAAATGGAGACCAAACAGCCTGGCAGCTCCTTGCCCATGTCTGGGATCCAGAAGCACTTCTGGAGCATGTTTGGAGCCCAGGGACAGGTAGAGAATGAGCATTACTTTGAGGACTGCAACGCCCACTGAGGTTAGAGTGAAGACTTGGGTCTTTTATGCACTTGTGTTGCAAAGAGCAAATGTTGCTTTCATTTGCAAACCCACAAACCCCAAGTGAAGAATTATTTCTCTGTTTTTCAGGGCTAAGAAATGTGCCTATGTAAAAGCTCTCAGAGATATTGCTCTATGGACTCTGTAATTCGTTGTAACTCCCAGCCCTAATAACGACAAGCTGATTTTTCATATTTTCTAAAATTGGCAAGCTAATATTTCTTGAATCAGTCAGAAAGGAAATACTGCTCTGTCCTCTGCTTATCCTTTCTTCATCAACAAATGCAATTACAAAAACATATTTCCTCAGCTCAGAGCGTCAGGGCTCTGTCAGAGTCATTTTCCCATCTTCCAGAAGTAAATCTGAATCTGATTACACCAGGGAAATGTAATCTGATTCACCTCCCACCGCTGATGCCCTAACTTCTCTTTCTACCTATCTCAAAGCTGAAATACAGATGAAAAGCAAAGATATTCTTACAAGCCTGAAACAGAAGGATATTCATACAGAGGAGAAAAAATAGTGACACCCAGGGATCCAAGCATCAGCTCCAGAAGTGAACAGCAATTTGCTTATCAAAGGATCTGGTGTGGGCCATCTACTGCCATTATTTAATCGGCCCAGAGGATTACCTGTGCTGGGAGACAGCCATGCATAAGTGGAGATCATATGTACAGGAATCATGATGTGTTGTACAAGAAAAGCAGTATTCCAGAGCCAAAAAACAGTAAGCCCTTCCCCTGCAAAGGTTATGGATGGCTTTAACTCCAAAGCCCTGTGTGCCTTGGTTGCAATAATTGATGTTAGAGCTTCACAGGCCAGATCAATAATTAATGGTGAGTTTGCTAGTCAACCGCAGCAGAAGCTAAATCCGTTTGTACTGTGTCACAGGCCTCGTGTGCTTTTAAAGAGATGAGCAGAAATTGGCAGGATGCTTTACAAAAGGTTCAGAAGGGAGCTGGATATTGTGATAACAGCTTAATTTCATTTAAGCCACTTAATCATGATACTACAAGCAGAACGGCTCATCTGAGGAGTGGTGCACGATGGATCCTGCCAGTGGGCTTTGTGCTGGTACAGGTACAGTGCTGGGCTTCTCCAGCCCATCACTCTGCTCATCCATTAAATGCCTCTTTCCGGATGTGTCAAAACCACTGCTGATTTTTTTGTAACCAATGATTGGATGAGAGGTAACGGCCTCAAGTTGCACCACAAGAAGTCCGAGTTGGATATAAGTCAGGAATACTCATCAGGCTGTGGTACAGCTGCCCAGGGAGGTGGTCACCATCCCTGGAGGTGTTCCAGATCCATGGAGATGTGACGCTGAGGGATGTGGGCATAGCAGGGGTGGGCTGGGGGATCTGAGAGGTCTTCTCCAATCTTCTGGGCATAAAGGAACGGAGAGCAAATCCCCAGGCGTTCATGCAGGAGAACTGCCTTGCTCCTGCTGCATGCAAGCAGGTCAGGATTTGACTAATTTATTACTATACAAGTTACTGCAGTGATAAGGTAATGTGACAAATGCATTATTAACAGTAGCCCATGGTTAATTCATCATACTGTGGTACTGCTGCTGGCATATTCTGCTCCGGGGGCCGCTTTGTGGGGAATACTGACCCACCATTCTGTGACAGCAGTGGATAAAAAATGATGACAGTCTGCCCCATCAGACAGGGGACAGCCTCCAGATGCTCACATTTTCACCATGCCTATCTGTAGCCAGAGCAATAAGAGAAAAGTGTTTCTAATGATCTGTGCAGGAATTTGCACTTGTTGCTGGAATATTTTTCAACATAGCCAAAGGTTAATATATGCACTGCTGAGCCCCTTATTAGTTCTTCCTCTCTTGAGTACTACACCTTTTTTCTATTAGCATCACTCTTATCCATTTCTCACAGTAGTTAGCACGCCCCTCATATTTTTGGGCAATTCCCCACATTTAGAGCACATGCTTTCTGCCCTCCAAATGGATACCTGCAGGTTCTGCTCAGTCTTCTATATGAGTCTGGGCTGACTTCCTGGCCTCTACTTCCCACTGTTTTCCATGGACTTTCTATGCAAAACATCCCCACGCAGGGATGCTGGCCAGCCCCTCTACAGAGGCAACGTGGTGCCACATGATGCTACAAGGGAAGCCTGGAGGCACGCATTGAAACAAACAATGGGGAAAACAATCTTGATTTCAAGCTTCGAAGCAAAATGTTTGGAGCAGATTGGGAAAACTGGCCTTTTCTTTTGTGTTTTTCTGAGTTGTCCCTATGCCATCCTAAAAAGGCTAAAAAGGAATAAAACCAACCAATCTGCCTCAACTCCAGACCCAGGATTTTTAATAGCAGCAACACATCAGAAATGCTTGTGATTCCCCAGAAACCCTCATGCCTTGTTGTTGTCTTTCATTTCACCCTGACAAGAGATGAATGAGAGCCCCTGGTTTTCTTTTCCCAAGATAAGACTGGATTTCTCTAAACAAGGAAGAAGTCCAGGTCAAGGAAGAGGGAACAGTCTGTGCATGGAAAATCCCCATCAGCTGGCTGCCCTAGAGGTGAGGAACCAAAGGGCTTTTTCCTTGCCAGGAATGCTCAACTGCTTTGAAAAGACCAGCTGAAAACTCTCCAAAACAGAGGGTTGTTTTTTTTTTTTCCTCCTCATGGGAAAAGAAGTTACATTCTCTTAATCTTACAAAAGACAAAACCATACATTTTCATAACTGAAATTTGGATGTATTTTCCATGTTTGTTCTGTGTTACAACTCAACAGAAACTGCAGCAGTGACAACAGAGCAGCAAGGTCCTAGGTTGCTGCAAGGGAGGATTTACTAAAATACAACAGCAGTAGACACAGAAACAATGGGGGAAGGGAAGCTGCTTACCTTTACAAGACCTCAAGTAGGCAGGGATCTCCCAGAAGATCACCTCACCTCCACTGCCAACCCTTAAATGAGATCTGGGAAGGGGTGGATCCTGGCTCCAGCCCTTCAGATCACTCAGCTGCATTGCATGCACCTGAGCTCCTCTTGGTTGGCCCTCCTTTCCCACCAGGTACTCAATCGCTGCTTCAAGCTGTGACAGCATTTCTGCTACAAATGTCCCACAAACTGGTTCCCATTTAATTCCCTCTTGTTATTTCCTAGCCAGCAAAAGAGCTGATTTCTGATCTCTGTATCGCAAGGGTGGGTGATGGTGCTTTGGTGGGAAGCATTTGCACAAGGAGCCCACTGGAACATCCTGCCCCACACAACCAGGGCAGGTATCATGGGACTGGCTCCCATCCTTGCTCCAAGTCAGGCTGTTAGCAGCCAGAAAATGCAATTCTTTGTTCTGCTGTTTCCCTAAACTACCTTAAGGCAAAAATCCTTCAGCAAGAACGTCAGCCAGGCACTAATGATATTTCATCCCATCTGAGCAATCCTGTTCCCAAACACATAGCCTGGAAGTCTCTCAGTAGCAGTTCTGGATGGAGCTGTGCACCAGCAGCCAAGTATGGTCCTTCTCCTTCCGCTCCTCCCTTGGAGCATGGGATATATTCAAACACATTATGACAAACTCAGCACATACACAAAGTTAAAATCATCACAATAACAAAGGGGATGTGGGAGGGAGCCACCATATCCTAGGAAAACTCTTCCAAGTTCATGCACATAAAAACAGCACTTTTTGCTCTTCAAGGCGTGACTGACAAAAATGCAAGGAGCTGAAGCTGGGAAAATATTTTGCACTTACTAAAGGGTGGCAGCTCTTCCATACATATATATATATATATAAATTTTTTTTTCTGGGCCTGCTCTATATAAAACAAACTATAAAAATCATTTTTCTTCCCTTTCTCATCAAAACCAGAATTCTGACTAAACTGCAGCAATAAAAATGAGGTAAAACTGCACCTTGCCCAAAAACTGGAGGTGAAAATAATGTCAAGCTAATCAGCACACGCACTTATTTCAGCTCCACATATTTTTCTGAGTTTTAATGGTGGGCAAGGTGAAGGTATTTATTTGAGGAGATGATGCTGCCACTTTGCCTTGGCTGACATCTAAGAAATTGCATGTAATTACTGGAAAAACATAAGATGGGAAGGGACTCTTCTGCTACTGATTGAAAATGACTTTATTTTTCTTTTTACCCCTTCTATGCTGCATAAATCTCTTCCTATCCTCACACTATTTGCCACAAAAGGAGTTTATCACTTAGCTTGTGATGTTTCTTTCCCCAGGTGCAGCCAAGCAGACTCATTCTGCACTTCAGCCCCTAAAGGACCCAGGATTTGGAAAATGTGGTGGGATGAGCACTGGCTGTGTGTGCTGGGGTGAATGTCCCCAGTTCTGCAGTGGCAGCTGTGCCATGAGAAAGCAGGTATGCTGGTCCTACTAGGAGAGGCTTCAGACAGCAAATTGCTCTGCTGGGCTCAGGTACCTGAAAATAGGGTGTTGTGAGGCAGGGGTCAGCCTCTGCTCCCTGGTAACAGTGTGAGAGGTGATGGCATCAAGCTGAGCCAGTGGAGGTTCAGGTCAGATATTAGAAAAAATGTCTTCTCTGAAAGAGAGGAGGTGCATTGGCACAGCTGCCCAGAGAACAGTCACCATCCTGAAGATGTTCCAGAGCCATGGGGATGTGGCACTGAGGGACATGGACAGTGGGCAGGGGGGGGTTGAGCTGGGGATCTTAGTGTTTTTTTCCAGTATTTGTGATTCTGTTGATCACTGGATGGAATCTGTGTTAACAAGTGACCCTCAAAATAATGCAATTTCTCCTTTTTGCTTCTCCTTTTGCTTTGTTCCACATCCGCCCCCTCCACTCAGCTTCCTCCTTTTGCTGCATTTTATTTCAGCTTTTTTTTGTGACACCAGTAGCCTTAATGAAATATGCAAAGGCATGAAATTCTCAGGGCAGCACGAGTTCAGGCAGCTCTGCATCAGGGCTGGGAAAGGTCAGGACCTCCTGTATGATGGGCAGACGCGGGGACATGCAGAAACCTCTCCTCATCCAAACAGGGCAGCTGCAAAACACTGCAACAAATCCCACCGAGTGCTCCCGAGGACCCCAGACACTGCAAATTGGGAACAGGGAGACACTTCAGCAAATTGGAGAGATTGCTGAAATAGAAAGAAGAGGGAGACTGTTTTCGAGTGGGAGATTGTTATTTTTGTCAAGTGTTTACCAAAACGCAGGACGGAATATCATTTCAAAAAGTCAGCCAACCCTAACATTTCTCAAGGCTCACCGAGCGCAAGTGGGATGGGAAATAATTTTTCCTCTGTATTAGAAGTGGATACAGACTGCCTGACTTTATTGGGCAAATTAATTACACGCTAACCCAAGTCAGATTAGGTAACTGCATTTTCCATTTTTCAGCAGCAGGTGGATATCAGCCAGGTATTTGCAGGTGGATGTCAGATATTTGAAAACATCCCCACTCTTCCATAAGCTTCCAAATGGACATCTTGGCTCTGAAAATCTGAAGGAGGAATAGCTTAAATGCAAGCAGCAAGCACCAGTTTCTCCACGTGCTGTCCTTCTGGGCCATGTGAACTGCAGGTACAGCAGTGGAAGACATTTTCTGTTAGCAGCCTAACAGGATCACTGCTCTGTAGTACCAGATACATGCCCTGAGCACCAGTACTTGCCATAACTGGTCCATATTGCAGAGTTTTGTTCAATAACTTGCTGCTTGGAGCAACATCTCTATTTGCAATGTGGAAAGGAGCGGTCACGCAAACACAGACTCATTGGAAGGGACCACTAAAGGTCATCTGGTTCAACTGCAATAAGCAGGGACATCAACAACTCCCTGTGCATCCTGAGGGATCAGTGGTGCCATCAGAGCAGCTTGGATGATATTGCCACGTCCTACTCGTGTGCATCTGGCAACCCACCCTAAATTTATCCTGATATTCTCTCTCATGTGCTGTCTGTTTTCACTCTACCTGGAAGAGAACTACTCTAGGTCATGAGCTCCTATGTTGCAGCCATAACATATGGGCTCAAAAAAAAACACCTGGCATCTGGTGTGGGAAATTCAAGAAATGAGCCACAGTGACACAGCTTGCTAAAAGCTGCAAGGAGATCACTTCAGTTCACTGCTGTTTTCATACCACTGTGACAGGAGAGGCTAATTAAGGACACTTTGATGATCCAGTCATTGTTCTGTGAACTCTGAGACAATGTAGGCTGAAAACGAGGGCCAAGAGCAAATTCTTTCCGAGGAAGCTGAGCAGGCTGAGAATGAATTAGATGTGCAGGGCCTTTCTAAACTGGGGGCTGACATAACTGCCCCTTGCATAGGCCCTGTCCTTTCCAGGATTCAGAAATCACTGCAGCCACCTTTTGGCAGCTTGCAGTCCTCCTCCCTGTGCCTCAGCTGCTCAAGCAGCAGAAAATGGAAGACTTTGATTTTCTGCTCGAACACCACAGAGATTATCAGCTCACATAGAGAGTAATCCCCTTCTAAATGTGTCTGGTTTTGGCATAGGTCCTCCAGTGGACATTTAGGGCAGCTCCCTTTGGAGTTGGTGGCAGCCAGGCACTTGGATGCCTCTGTGGTATCCAGGTCCTTTGAGAGCAAGGATTCACTTCTAAAAGAAAATCACAGAATCATATGGGTTAGAATGGCCCTCCAGGAATCATCAAGTCCGACCCAGAAAAGGACATTCAAACAATAAAAATCTGGCTGACTTCTTTATTCAGCCACCAAAGCCAGCTGCTCCCTTTACCACGAGATCCTCCCAAATGAGCCTTGGAAGGTCCATCTGTAAGAAGCAAACCAGACTACGTGCCATTACAGAAATGCCATCTCGCATGGGAACAAAGTAAGTGCTGGGAGTGCATGCAGACACCAGGGCTTTTGCTAAATTCAGTTCACCAGAAGTTCCTGAACTAGACTGCAGGGTTACTTTCTTACAGATTTCATTCATATCAGCATTTTCAGCCTCTAGTTAGCAATTTCCATTTTACATAGAAGCCATCTCTTTTGCTTAGGCCCAGCAATAAAGTCACAGTTTGCATAATGTTTTTTCAAGCAATATTTAGGCACTGAAGGCAGAAAGCAGTGCTTTTACCCAGCTGAGAGATTTTTACTATCCTTAATCACATTTCAGAACATTGATTTTAAGAAAACAAATAAAATGATAATATAAATTGATAATATATAAGATTCAGCATAAAACAAGTCCTATATTAAATCTAGACTCAGGTTGATGAGGTGGAATGGTTTTGGAAGTGAACTTAAAGATACCTGGATCCAACCCTCTTCTGTGCACAGGCTAAGATATATGCCTATTATTAAAAGGTTGATGAATTAGAACTTTTTTTTTTCATAGAATCACAGAATGGCCTGAGTTGAAAAGGACCACGAGGATCATTCAGTTTCAACCCCCCGTCACAGGTAGGGTTGCCAACTACCAGACCAGGCTCCCCAGAGCCACATCCAGCCTTTGAGATGAAATCAGACTTTGACTCACTGGGATGCTGCATAACTTCCTGCCTTTCTTCCAGTTGATGAGAGGCAACTTAGAGAGATGCAGCTGCACCTTTAACCTCTGGCACTGCAGCTGGATCCCAATTAACTGTCATACAGTGCAGGATTAGATGAGATAGAGGGTGGTTTTCTGTCCCAGAAAGAAAAGAAGATAGGCACAAAGAGAAGCCTCCAAGTATTCCTATTACTCATTCAAATGTTGAAATAAGTGCACGGGAAACCACAAATCATGCTAAGGTTTAGTGGGCACGGTGTGGCTTGGTTGGTGGGTAGACTTGAAGACCTGAGAGGTCTTCTCCAACCTTCATGAATATATGAAAATATGCCAGCTGGGCATTGCAATGCACTTGAGACACTCAACTATACCCAGAATGCTTAGGGCCTCATTCCCTGTCAAAAATCTAGTCAAAATTTCTCTCAGAAGAAGGATGATGAGGGAATTCAGATGTGAAACACTGTGCCCTAGCTGTGGAGAGCAATGATGACCAAAAAGAGAATTCCTATAGTGTCGTATCCTGAAAACATAAGGCATCGCTGCTTAACCTCGTTGTTTTATTAGTAAATATGAATGTCAATGAAATGTTAACGTGACATTTTACGGGAATGACTACAATAATTTAATTATGTAAAGATGCTCACTAATTAGAGTCTCTAATTGCAGTGTTATTTGCTTCCTGAGTCCAAAATTATTACTGCCCTTTTGCAATAGTTTCAACTCCAGTGTATCTGCATAGAGCCACTGGGCCCTCAGTGTTCCTCATATGCATTTAATAAAGTGCATCACTTTCACTGACATTAGTGTTTAGTCTGGTTACCGTGTTTGCCATCATCACAGATTCTTGGGTTTGCTCAACAAGTTCCTCCTCCACAAGTAGCTTGAACTAAGGCTCTGCTTGAACTAAGGCTCTACCTTGCTTTTGAAGAAATCTCATAAAGAGGAAATAATCTGACAAAGGTACATGCAAGACAGTGCTTTGGTTATGTTTTATGGCTTAGATTTGGTTATAGTTCATGATTTTGTCCAATTCAATGTGAAATCTCCCTCAAAAAAACAAATCAAAAACAAACCAGTCAGTATCATCTGTGCAAACATATATCCAAAATATGCAATATCTTTGCTTCTCATTAGCCCTGCTTTGCCACCTGTTGCACTAAGTCTTGTTTAAGTGTGTCCTTGCAGATGGTCATGATAGTCTCTATCACTCCAATGGAAGTTCCTGAAGGTGCTATCTTTCTTTTCATAGCTTTCTCTGGTTCTTTTGAGCTCAGGCTTGTTACCTATAAGTCAGATGGTAAAATCTCTTGCAAATTTCTCCTGATCTTCACTTCCAACAGGGAAAGTCTTCATGGCTGATCCAAAAAAATGAAAATTCTGCTCAATTTTTAAAGCCATCCTTGGAACACCTGGAGCTTGATAAACGGTTGTATATTTTTACACTGGCTGCAGCTGCAAATTCAGTATCTGAGGACATGTTTCTACCCATTAAACACTAGTCTGACCTACATATCATACCTGAAGTTCACCATCACAAGTTCCTACTGCAGTCACAGAATGGCCAGGGTTGGAAGGAACATCAAAGATCATGAAATCTCCAACCCCCCTGCCACATGCAGGGCCACCAACCTCCCACTTAATACCAGCCCAGGCTGCCCAGGGCCCCATCCAACCTGGCCTTGAACACCTCCAGGGATGGACGGGGCATCACAGCCTCTCTGGGCAGCTGTTCCAGCACCTCACCACTCTCACAGTAAAGAACTTCCCCCTGACATCCAACCTCAATCTGCCTTTCCTATGTCAGTCAATGACCCATGTGACTATGAGGCCATTTGCCTTTTCCCATAAATGCCAAATTTATGCCAGCCAAGCATTGGGTTAGGAGCACCATCCCAAGAACAAAAAACTTATGCTGCATTCACTTTAGCAAATAGATACATGGGAGAGCCTCTCCATAGCTCAGAAGACATCTAGGCTAGGCCACCATCTCTGCTCCACAACCTTGTTCTCATTTGTTTTCCCATTTTGTTCATGTCCTTTCAAGTGGAAATGACTAATTTGTTCCAAAGGATGCTGGTGGAGAGCAACTTATTTACGTCCCTGCACAGCTGGCCAGAACCTGGGCAGGAAACACAGGTGATTTATCTGCAGATGTCTGCAAGCTCCAAAGATGGGCTTCCTGCACAGCACTGTAGCACACACTGCTGAGCCAGGGGAAATAGCTTCTCCTTATTTTATTTCCTCTTCTTCTCCACTCTTTCATTTTTGTGAGTGATTCCAAATGCCTCTCAAAGTGGAGTCGTATTTCTGTTAAATCCATATTCCTCTGGTGCCTAAAGAAGTGCTCTGCCCCTTTTATTGCCAGGCTTACTCTGCATGTCTGTGTTTTCCTACATCTATCCTGCTTAACAGGCTGCACACTCAATCGCTCCCAACCCCAACCTCTGAGATAAATGCAGAGGTTACGTTGCACAGCAACGTTATCTCAGTACTGATGACTTTGGTACACCCCATAAATCTTAAAAGTATTCCTAAAAGCATTAACTGATTATATATTGCATGCATCTATTGTTACCAGAGCCTCATAGGGATGAAATTAAAGGTTTTTTTCTTGTGTGAGAAACAGGCAGAGCTAATAAAACTCTTCTTATTCATTTCTCCTTCCATGTTTTCCTCCCCAGCAGCACATCACACTACTTGAAATGAGCTTATATCCATCCTTCTGGCATAACCCTGAATTGTTAAGACAAGTCCTGTAGTGCACACCTCCAGAGGCCGACCAATTCACAGCAGAGTTTAACACTTCCAAACACTACATATTATCACTGATGTAAGGGGAAAAAGAAGCAAAGTGACTTAAGCCATCACTTTCTGGTCCTGAGGGACCACAGATGCTGTTTTTCCTCCCTTGATGTACCACATGAAGCCCTTCACAACTCCTGTGCTGCCCTGTGTCCACCTGTGCACATAGCAGACAAAGCCAGCAGTGGCATTCATCACAGTGCTTGGTTGCTTGCCTTCATGCACACAGCCTTATCACTGCAGCTCCAGGTGTTTGTCCTTTAGACTCTTCCTTGTAGGGACACAGGTTGTTTTTCCCATCCTCCATCTCAGCCAATCCATTTGTAACTCTGAGGACACAACCACCTTCTCTTTCACACCCCTGAAGACTTTGCAACAGCCTGGCTGCTACTCCACATTGGGAAGCATCCCATCACATACTCTCTATCCCTTATTTTCAGATCTATGACCATCCTACTTCCCTCTCTATACCCGCATCATTCACACCGGGCATTTTGCTGCAGGTGGGTGGGTAGGAGGACACAGGTCTGATTTGCACTGATGTTTGTAGAGGTCATCAGAGCCTCCTCTAGCAACAGAATCCAAAAGCAGCCAGCATACACGTCAAGTGGCTGCTGCTTTCAAGTGGGTGAGGAGCAAACCAAATTTTTAATAGGTCTGTCACAGCAAACGTTGAGTTTTAATTGCACTGGATAAGTCTGCCAGGTTGTCTTGGCAGGAGCTTATCCACAAGGAGGGTACCTAAGTGACTGTGTCATGTTGTGTTGGTTGAAGTGCTTTGAAGTGGTCACAGAAGTCCCCTGTGGCAATTTACAGAATGTTGTGTTATTCTTAGGGGGGAAAATAAGGAATTTTTGAGGAAAATCATCAAACAGTGCTTTGGATCTCAGGACCGGTGAGCTGATATCAGGGCCCACAGAGAAGCATGTTTGAATAGTGCCAACAACACTGTTAAGCCAGGTAACAAAGGTTATAGAATAGATGAGGGATGTTATTTTGCTAAATGCAGGTCTATGGATCCCCAAAGGGGGAAAAAAGGAAGAGGGAGGCCAGCAGCAGGCAGTGTACCTAATGTTAATGCTTCAGTACATGTTGTTGCTTGCCTCTGCCAAAAGCAATCTTTCACAGTGGGAAAACACAGCAAAAGACAGGAAATATCCAGCACAAACAGAGGCCAAATATCTCCAATTTACATCCCCAGCTGGTTTCCGACCATTTCTATGGACATAAATCAAGCAAGTGGAAAAGCACTGATAGTGGACCTGTGTCTCTCCTTTTTTTCTTACTGGTCCCTTTGCAGTCCTGGGTCTGCAGCAAAGGCTGCAGAGCTGCACAGGACCAAGCCAGGTCCCTGTCCTCCCTTCCTCCATCCTCTGATTGGAGCCCTGAGCACCACTTCTCATCCATTGCGATCACCAACACCCAAGCTAATTATAGTCTTATCTGAAAAAACAAGGGATTTGTGCCTGACCTTCTCTGGGCAGCAAAGGTACACAAGTAAATCTCTGCAGATCACTCCAAATTCATTTGAACAGGTGCAGCCCAACCTGATGCTCAAACTCTGCTGAGCCCTCAATGACAGACACTTCCTGCCCAATGCCCCCAGCTCTCGTGATGCCTCTCTCAGGATGTCATACGGACACTCAGCACATCACCCTGGACAGGAACAAACAGGAGCAAACACTTGAATGCAATTTCCCCCCCACACAAAATCACAGAATATCCCAAGTTGGCAGGGTGCCATGAGGACCATCAAATCCAATTCCCAGCTCCACACAGGGCTACCCAAACCTTATGTGTGGGAATGGTGCCCCAACAGTCCCTGAGCTCTGGCAGCCTGGGCTGTGCCCCTGCCCTGGAAAGCTATTCCATGCCCATCACCCTCTGTTGCAGAACCCTTTTCTGCTCTCCAACTTGATCTCCCCATCACAGCTTCTTCGCACTCCAAAAACAAGCAGAAAGAGTTTCTTTAACCAGAAGATCAACACGTGCAATTGCTTTCTTCAGTGCTACCTCCCACATGTGAATTTTTCCCATTGTCCTTGGCACATGCCAAAATATTTCCTCTTGCCACAGCATCTGGCTTCCCAGCCAGACATCCATCCATCAGTTGTGCTGTTGACTCTTTCTACTCCACTTCTACATCTAAAGCCATGGAGTTGCTTCAGCCCCATGCACTCTTCTCCATCCTCACCTTTCAGCATCTTTGAACACTTTCCCAAGAATACTTACTTGCATAATTGTCTCCTCTTATGTGAGGAAGGTTCTGGATTAAAGCTGCCAGTTCATTCAGTGGCATGCCTAGGACACAGCTGAGTGCTTCCCCATATGCACACCATGTATCTCCCTGATGAATAGTGTTTGCTCTAAGAGCAACTGGTTTTTGGTTGCTTTGGATAAAGCCTGTGCCTTCCACCCTAAAGCACTTTTGCTGTAAAAAAAAAAAAAAAAAAAATTTAGAGTGAGGTATCAGAGGATATGTATTAATTTGGTTGGCTCTAATTATCCAGTGTTGAAATAGCCTGGTCTGCACTGAAAGATTACTTAAATGCAAACTTGCTCACAACCCTGTGCAACACATCTCAGACAGGGCAGACAATAAAACTACTTGCAAAAATCCCTACAATAGTTCATTGAAACAATTAAGGACTAGTAGGATCAGACACAGTGATTTTTTTTTATTATTTTTTTAAGTGTTTTTAATAAACTTAGTGTAAAACCAGACTCCAGGTGGCTATAAATCAACATATGGTTACAGAGTCAGCTCTGACAGATGAGAATAGCCCTTATGTCCATTTGAGAAATTGTTGTAGACAATGCTGGAAAGAGAGAAAAGGAAGAAAAGTGCTTCAATCACATTGAAGCCCTGCTATCTGCCCCACAGTTCAAGGGCTGGCGCTGAAGGAAAGCTGTCCTGCTGCTGAGCACTGCAGAGGCCACCAGGGAAAGCCAATTCCCCCTCAATCCTGATTGGAATGGGCACCAGCAGCCAGAAAGTAGCTGGATTTGTGACACCAGCAACATGGGAGTCCGACACAGCACTGCCAAGACAAAATCTGCAGTCGGTAAGGAAAAATATCCCCAGCTGAGTGCTTCTATAGACACCAGCAGATGTGGTGTTCTGCAGTTGATGCACTGATGGCTCTGGGCAGCCTGCTGTGGTGGTTGGTGACCCTGCACATAGCAGGGGGTTGAAACTAGATGGTCATTGTGGTCCTTTTCAACTCAGGCTATTCTCACCATCCCTGCTGCAAGGTGCAGAGTTACAAAGCACCCAAGGAACTCTGATACTTAGAAGGTATGAGGTCAGAGGGAAAGAGAAATGCCCAATGATTCTCAAATTTGGCCCAAACCCTCTGAGGAGGAGAGCACAAAACCCAGTCTTCCCTGGGAGAAAAGGAATGCTGAGGGCACACAGTGTCCAGACAGCTTCAGAGGGGAAGGAGATTCAAAGCATCTTCTCCAGCCTTGTGTTGTGCAAACAACAGGGTGTGTTGCTAAACACTCAGCTCCCACCTCCAGCTTAAAGCCTGACATCTGTATAATTGGTATTTCTACTGATGGCAACAAAAACACTGATTCACACAGGAACTCATGCAGAATACACTGAATAAAGCACCCAAAGCCAAGCTAAGAAAACCAGATTAGCTACAGAGCATGCAGGGTGCAGGCTGTGGTGGTGTTTCCCCTAGATCACATCATCCAGAAGTGCAAATGCTTTCATTGGTGTAGGGGTGAGAGTTGAGGCCAATGTTCAGCAGATTGTGGATAAGCTGTGCCTACTTCTCCACTTTAAGGCTGCACAAGCACAGTTTTGGCCACAATCTGGAGCATGTGTGAATGGAGGACCTGAGTTACTTAAAAACCTCTGTATTTGTTGCTAGAACTCTAAGTCATCTATGTCCTGCAAAGCAGCACAGTTTTACAAAGCCACCCAACTGTTCCACACTGCAATCTTTTTTTTCATTCTCACTCTACAGCAAGACAGAAACCAAATATTTTTTCGTCATACTATATGGCTAAGAGTTACCACACCTTGGAAATTAAGCTTTGTGTTACAATGTCAATGTTACTTCAAGTATACAGGAGGAGATTATACAGTCTCAAAAGATCATCTAGAGAAAGAATTGTTTTTAAAACACATAAAAGCCAACAGATAGCACTATTCATCATCTTCACACCAGCAAAGCCATCAGCTTCATCTTTGTGCAGAGACCAGCCCCATCATCAGTCATGTAATTTACAGTGAGAAATAGATAAAGATTTTGTTCTGTGACAATTACAGTTATAAAGACCAAGAAAGAAATCATTTGACGAGCTGCCAGCTCAGGGATTACAGATTTGATGTGTGGTTTCAGCCACCTCAGGGCATTAGCAGTGATATTCCACCCCCCCCCAACACTGTAGATTGAAGAGTATTGATGAGAGAGTCGAGATCAGAGAACAGCAGCTCTAACCATTACTCTGCCCCTGCCTATTTACTACTACATTAATCTTTCCTTGACCTACTAAATCCCATTTTCTTGGGCTTTTTTTTCTGGGGAGATGTAGGAAAGGAGCTGAATGTATATCTGATCAGCCAGCACCCTAAAATGCTCCACCGCCAAGCCCAACAGTGTAGCACAAGAAATACGTCCCTTGGAAACGTAGAAAACAAGCTTTCCACCAGCACTTAGCAGTCCACGATTTGCTTTTCCATGGTAGTACTTCCATCAAGAGATTTTACTAAAGCTGTATAACATGATGGAAAGCAATGATAGCAGAGCAGCAAAGCCCTAGGCTGCAACAAGACTTGCTCAAATGCAACAACCATGGGCGCAGAAACAAAGGAAAGAAACTGCCTACCTTCAGAACACCTCAAGTACACAGGGATCTCCAGCAAAATACTCTCACCTCCACTCTCAACCTTAAATGAGGTCTGAGAAGGGATGGATCCTGGCTCCAGCCCTTCTGATCACTCAGCTGCATTGCATGCACCTGAGCTGCCCTGGGTTGGCCCTGCCTTCCACCAGGTGCTCCATCACTGCTTCAGGCCGTGACAGCATTTCCACTTTGCCAAGCTACCATATTTTATTATCATTCTAAAGACAGAAAAAAAAGGTCCTGCATGGACTGAGCTCATTTAAGTAGGTGGGTATGTGGTCATTGATTTTGTTAAGGTCAGGAATGCACCTGATCATATCTACCCTATACCACATTAACCCATGTAAAAACCTGAGTGAGAAACTCAAAAATTGGCACAGACTTATATGAGATTGGGCTTGGAAGTCTGGCACTGCGTGCCCAGAGCTGCTGTCTGCTCTCTTCAGCTCTCATAAAATGCGCATGTCTGCCTCGAAGGCCTTGAGATGGTCAGCAAAGGGTACCAAAAATGCATGAGGGCTGCTCCAAAAGTAATGCCTCCTATGTTACCATGTTGGCCCAAGACATCAAAGTTTGATGTTTGGTGGTGTTGGCAGTTGAGCTTGAGAATTCCATCAATATTCCCCTGGAATATTCTCTTGGAGCCATTTAAAGAAAACATGGGTGATAAATCCTTTCGGATAGCAAGCTCTATGGTGCCCAGGGCACTCAGGCTTATATGCCTCTGTATTTGTCACAAAGCACATTTGTCTGATCAGTTTGTGGGGGGTCGATAAGTCATTACCTTTCAGTAGCAAGCAGAGGGAGGTGTCTGCCTTTGTGGTAACGTACTGACATGACTTCAGTCTAAGAAAATTCCTGGGAGTCACAGCCTGGGCTCAGGGTGGTGGTAAGGCAGAGGCTCTGCAGCAGTTTCATTCATACAAATCACTGTCGCTTTTGGAAGGTGTGATCTAAACAAAGTGATGTTGGAAGGGAAATGGTTATGCAGAGTTTCAGAACAATAAAGCAAAGCACTTTGAAGGCAATCTAAGCAATGTGCTGTGCTGCGCTTTGCATCTCAGCTGAGAGCTTCAAGCACCTTGAGAAGTGATTTCAAGCTTATACATTATTCATCTGCAATATCTGTCTTCTAAAATATAATGGTTAGGGAGAACAACAATCAGTGCTCGTTCACCACAGCCAGGCCATCTAACTTAACAAGGAGCAGCCTGTAATTTCAGTGCACAAGAGCATTTCAGACATCTCTCTTCCTTCTCATGCTCTCACCAAAGTGCAGTGAACTGTGACAAAATCAGGCTGCTTGTGCATATCCTTTCTCTTCAGCTTCCTCAGAACAGTGGCTTGTTTCAGTGCTGCAATTTTTGTTGGCCTTTGTGAGCTGAAGTGTCTGAAGTCAGAGCATTTGTAGTCAAGGTTATAACGATAGCAAAAACTCAATTTCTGATACTAAATATCATTGTGTATGGAAATAATGGAAAACATATTTAGGACGTACTATTTCTGTTGCTCAGTTTGGTGATTTTCAGATACAAGTTCAAATTGTATTTTATTAGCTAGACCCATTGCTTGCAGCACAGATGTGAGCGTGTGCCATGACAGCTCAGGAGGAATCACAGCCAGGGGCTGCCAGACGAAATCTCACACAAGCAAATACTCATTTTTCCTCTTTCCTAACTGGAATAAAGAAAATCTTGCACAAACTCACCTGAAGGGATGATAAACCCAGATGAGGCAAATTGGGTTGGCCAGTGTGTTGGGGGCTTTTGTTTGTCTGATGTTAACAGTGAACACTGGCATTGGCTTATAGAGTTAGCTTCCATGTGTGGCAATAAGTGAGATACTGCTTGGGGACAGTATTTCCCTGTTCTGCTCTTAGATTCCTCACAAAGACATAGATGTGAGCATCAAAGTGCCCCTCAGATCTTCAGGCACAGAGATATATTACCTGTGCCACAGTGGCTATTAAGATGGATTGCAAGAGGAAGGCATAAAATAAGATTTTGACAGCAAGGGAGACAATGAGATGAAAAAGAAACTTTGATTCTCTCCACTACATGTAGATTATTTTCTAAGTTCTAAACTATGGCTGAGTCTGGAAAACACAAATTGGACAGCACAAAAGAAGGCAAATACATTGGATCTACTTGTAGAGGAGCACTGCTCCCTAAACACTGCATTCCTCCACCCTGCAATTTATCCCTCGTGGTCACTGTAATCTGCGTGTACAGCACTTTAAAATTCATCCCAGTGTGTCAGTGAGAAGAGCTGGATGTGGCTGTGATGCTCAGTGAATCTCAGCTGGGATACATCCCCACATCCCCTCAGCATTACAGTGAGCAGGAGCAATTAATGATCTGCCCAACTGCTTCTTACAGTCAGTCAGACTGGAAGTCTGGCGTGTCCTCAGCATGGGCTCATTGTTTTATTGATATTGTTATCATTGATTCCACCTGCTGGGCACTGTTGCATAAATCTGTGCAAGTGTTATGTACAGATGCAAAAAAGTCATGCC